GAATGAGAATGAATATCTCACAATACAAGAGATAAATTTGACTGGTTTAGAATATATCTTCATCAGAAGTACTTGTCCTGTGAAGATATTCATTTTCATTCATACCTGTTTTATATTTGTCAACATGAATACTATTTATATTCCTTTGTTATATTTGCATTTGATAATAAGATAATAGGAGTCACAACAAATATCTGATATATTTTCATTATTGTTAATGTCTTCTACTATACTTGTGTGTATCATGTGTTTGTCATCCAAATATCCATATATTCCCATATCTGCAGGACAATACCAACTATTACGGGAGAGTCTGTGGTTGCTGAAATCACTACAGATGGATGTGCTGGAACTTCAGCTGAAGTGCGGTACTTGGAGCATGTGCAAGCAAGAGTCTCCTTGCGGTTCTTGCCCAGAGGAAATATCAATATTAGGCTTGTTTCTCCCTCAGGTAAATTTTTTATACTTTTGGATGCACATCTGATGTGAAGCACTGAATGTTTCTCTCTGTCTTTTCATATATCTAGATGATTATGGGTGATTAGTATTGATCTTTCTTATTCTAACCAAGACATTTTAAAATCCAATTATCTTTTTTGCTTATATATATATTTACAAAATGTATGTCTACCAGTATGTACTACTTTCCCTTCATTCATATATCAGTAAGTTATATGGGAATTTGCATTGGAGTTTCCTCACTGACCGAATTTCAACAGGGACAACATCCACACTTCTCTTTGAGAGACCTCGAGATGTGTACTCAGAGAAGTTTGATGACTGGCCCTTCTTGTCTGTCCACTTCTGGGAGAGAAAGCAGCTGGAACTTGGAGGCTTATTGTGACCAATGCTGGGACAAGACAGGTTCATCACCCAGGTCAGTGTCTTGTTCTCTTTTCCTTTAGCAGTAAAGAAAATTGTTGTGCATTTTCTGTGATGAAAAAGATAAATAGGTAAGAATACTCACAATATTGTACCAGTTGTTTCCCTATTATTATTTTCTTGTTTTTTGTCTGTTGTGGCAGGTGTCTTGACTCAATGGCAGCTCATCCTTCATGGCACAAGGGAGCCACCTGGCCGCCTTCGCTCCGAGCAACCCCAGGGTCAGATTCCTTTTCCTTCCCCCAGGCCCGTCCCACCCAGTCCTCCTCAGCACCCCTCTTCCCTCTCGAAGACCCTCTCACAGTCCTTTGACCATCAGGTATTTGCAAGAACCTTCTGGTGGTCACATATCAGATAGTAGGATTGTCCTTAAGGGAAAATTAAGTAGCTAGTTGGTAGACTTTTTGTAGGATTTCCTTTTGCTGGACCATGTTTGTTACCTCTTATTCTGAATATTGCCCACTTGAAGATCACTTAATTCCTTGTCCCTTAACAGTCATCCTTGTAGGACACAACATTTGTTGGACTGAACCTTGACTTTCCCTTGGCATCAGTTTTCTTAATAGTGGGAGTAAGGGCAGATGTTTTAACTCCGGTGTGGTTATTGAAAACAATAATTTGCAACTGTAAAGATAGATAATAGATATTGTATATTTTTAGTATATTTCTGTTGCCACATTTGTAAAACATTATTTTTTCTGTCAACAGTATTTTAGACCAGATCCTCGCAGGGTCAACCCCAGATGCCACATATGCCACAGCTGATGGGAAAATTATACCTGGGCCAAACCACGTGCCTGCAGCCGAGAATAGCGACAATGCGGATAATAAGTTTTTCGAGTCAGAGGTGTGCCACAGCCAGTGTCTTGGGGGCTGCTCTGGGCCAGGACCTGATAAGTGTAAAGCCTGTCATCATTATAGTCTTGAAGGGTAAGAGAACTATTGTTCATCTGAGTTATATATTATCTGATACATTTTGTTCAGGTTAAAGAGGTGCATTAGATAACATAGCCTCATCACAATAGAAGTATTGGAGTTGTAAAGATGATCAGAAAGGAAAAAGTACAGATTTCCATAATGGCTACTCATACCTCAACAAACTCTCTCTCTGCTCTTCTAAATTCACTTTTAACACATCTCCAGTGAATGTGTAGGGAGTTGTCCTGAAGGAACCTATGGGTCAGAGGACAGGGAGTGTCTGGGTTGCGATTCATCCTGTGCTCTGTGCAGTGGGCCAGCTCAAAACCAGTGCGTAGCTTGTCATCCTAGTATGCTATATGTTCTCCATCTTGGGATCTGTGTTGAAACTTGCCCAGAGGGATACTATCCAGGTAAGTGTATTATGATTATGCATCTTTTATTTGTTATGGTTATTTTATATTTTTCCACAATACTTGAATTATACACATTTTTGTCTTACTATATTTAATCTTATATTAGATATCATTTGTAAATGTTAAGCATGGACAGAAGAATATGTATTGTTTTTTAGTAATCTTTTTTTTTTTTTTTTCAGTGAATGGAACATGTGTAAACTGTGGAGGTCATTGCACAGAGTGTACTGGTCTAGGACAGTGTAACAGATGTAGTCATAATCTCTTGCTTAGCAACGGGACCTGCACAACAAGATGTCCTGATGGTTACTTTGAGACCGACAATAATTCGTAAGTTGTAGTACAATGTTTGACACATATTTTTCTCTATATCACAGAATGAGGAGGGTATACATTCAACCCAAGTTGAAATATGCTAAGTGAAAATGCATTTGTTTACACTTAATAGACTAACCTTCATAATATGTCAAGCCTATATTAAACTTCCCATTTTATCGTAAAGTGTTAAAATATCTCGTGCTATTTATTGAATACTGTTCTGAAAGTGAAACCAGACCAGTTGCATGGGTACTTGCCACTAATGAGATATTATCACTAGCTCAGAAAGGATCAAAAATCAAAATCTAAAGTACAGTTTCCACTGAGTACTCACCACTTTCACATTATCATAAGTTAGGAGCTAGCTGTATTTCATGTATTTAGTGGAAATCATAAATACTAATGATATACTGTTGTCTGTTGCAGATGTGGATCTTGTTATCCACAGTGTCTGACTTGTGTTGGAGGTACCAATGCAGATTGCGCTGCCTGTAGACCTAACTCTTTCCTTCATCGTGGGAAGTGCGTCTATCGTTGTCCTAAAGGTAATGTGACAAGAGGCATTTTTTTAGAACTCTCAATTATCTTTGTATTAGGTCAGTTTACTTCTAAAAGTTATGTCTTATATAAAAAAATATATCCCTTTTAAAGGTTATAATAGGGATTGTACATTCAGAATAAGCAGTAAAGTCATTAATATTAAGGAGTCTATTACTGTAAAACCTTCATGGTTTATGTTGCTTGTTGCAGGAACATACGGTGATGTAGCAACACAAGAATGCCTGCCATGCCCCTCTGGCTGTGCCAGTTGTACCAGCGACTCCTGCACCTCTTGCATTGAGGGCTGGAGGACCAAGTCTGGTCGTTGTGTTGCTCGATCCAACCATTGTCACCTCAGTAAGTCACCAAGAAAATTGCCTTGATTGTATAATCACTTTATTGTAAATTTTTTTGTACTAGGACTGCTATAAAAAATATTATAATGCAAATATTGTGTATGTGCTTGTTATGTGACCATATAGCTTTTCTATTTGAAGAGTCGTGTTGTCACATGTGTCTTAATATGAACAGATGTAAATTCCATTCAACAAAAAATTATATATTTTTAGTTTTATTTGATTTTTCTTATTCTTCTTGAAATCTCAGGTCCTGAGTATAACAATGTTAAATTATTCCTACACCCAGATGAGTATGCCAGCCCATCTGGTGCATGTGAGGCATGCCATTCATCATGCCTAGCCTGCATTGGCACCAGGGAGGACCAGTGCCTACATTGCGCACAACAACGGTTCCTGATGAATTCCCAGTGTGTCCAGACCTGTCCCAGCGGTTTCTTTGCCCAGCGTGGCCGGTGTTTGCCCTGTGCTCACGGCTGTGAGACCTGTTCCTCATATTCGTCATGCTCCTCATGTTCACCACGGTTCTACCTGCATGTGGATCAGTGTATTGCCTCCTGCCCTGATGGGTGAGTGTGAGAGGAGGTGGAAAAGCATAAAAGCTTTGCTTTTGTGCTTTTTTGAAATTTGTTAGGCTGATCAATATGCTGATTATGATATATTTTTTAAAAATTCCCGGCTTTCCTTTACTCACTTTGTGATAGGTGGAATAATTTAAACAATCTCTAACAGCCATGTTTTGTATCCATTTTAGAACATACAGTGACAGGGGAGTTTGCTCTTCATGTGATGCCTCCTGTAAAACGTGTTATGGGCCCAGGGTCGACCAGTGTGCATCGTGCCAGAATGGATCCTTCTTGCTTGATGGCACTTGTCACCAGACCTGTCCAGAATCCCATTATCCTCAAGAGAGTGAATGTCTCCCATGTTACCACAACTGTAAGACATGCAGAGGTGAGTTCTCAGATTGGGAGTCATAGGGCAATTTATGATTTTTTTTGTTTTGTTAAGTTCATGGCATTGTTATTATTTTGTTCAATTCTTGCTTTGTTGTTATACATATTTTTAAAGCTATTTTTGTTTTTCTTGTCTCCTTGGTTTTGCCTCTTTGGTTGAAGGCCTGTGCTTTTTATGTCTTCTTCATACAGGCTCGGGTCTAAACGACTGCACCTCCTGCCGTGACTACCTCACCCTTGATGGCGGTATGTGCATTGAGTGCCGCTCAGGCAGATACTATAACCTCTCCTCTCAGAGGTGTGAGGCATGCAATCCATCCTGCTTGACCTGCTCATCAGGAGGGGAGAGCAGCTGCACCTCCTGCCAGTCACCCAAGTCCCTGCACACAGCCTCAGGCACCTGCCGCATCTGCTGTCCACCAGGCATCTTCGAAGAGGAACATAGCACCTGCTGCTCTTGTGATCCCTCAACAGGTTTGTTGAAATACAGGCTTGAGCTGAAGGCCACAAGAGATGCTCAATGTTACATTTACTAAATGTAAATACATTTCTGAGGATGCTTATTGTAAGGCCTGCCTGCATTGTCATCTTAGTGGTTAATTAGTTTATTTTATTTAATCTTTTTTTTTTTTTTGAGTTTAGTTTGAATATAGTAAACATTGATTTTTAGTAGTATGTTAAAACACATGTTTTTCCATTCAAATATATATACTTTTATTTCACAGTTTCTTAATTTTACTTCTGATATATACTGCCCAAAATATTATAATGAAGTATAAAAACAACTAGATGAAGATGTAGATCCTTAATTGTGTAGTTCGGGTTGAATTTTATATATAAGAGGATGAAGAAAAGCAAAGCTACTCTTTAAGTTATCTTTTGTTATTTCCCATTTCATGCCTAGACTCATAACCATATTCACGCAATCACATATTGCTTTTCTTGTACTGATGTCATTAACATGATATATGGAGTAGACTTTATGACTCATTATTATCACAAAATTCTCTTCTTTGACAGCCCAATGTTATGGAGCAGTGTCTGCAGACAAGAGAAGAATTGCCTTAAGTTTAAAGACTGGTCTCCATCAATCTCCTCCTGTTGAGACATACTTCTCCTCTGTCACATATTTAGTAGTTGTTATTTGTTCTGTGAATTTGTTGATATTTGGTGCTGTTTTCACTGTGCTTCAGGTGAGTGTGATTTTTTTTTTTTTTTTTTTTTTAGGGATCTAGAATGTGTGATGATATGATCAGAGGGTAACAAAACAGATTATTCAGAACACTACATGAGAACTGATGATGTATATGAAAATATCCTATTCCTGCAGATATGATATAACTATTACCAGAACCAAAAATGGTTGGTTATGTTGTTATTAATTTTTACATTGATTTCCCTCTACTTCTTGCAGGCCAGATCAACAGGCTCCCTTTGTTGGAGAAGTGATTATGACTACAGTGCCCTCAAGAATGGGAGTATGTCTGAACGTGTTTCGCTCACTCTTACCCCATACACAGAGGATGACTCAGAGGATGAGAGAGAGAATGAACTACTCTACATGAAAACTTAAGGTGGCCTTTCTTTAGAGGAGAGAGTAAACTATGGTGCAAAATGAGACAGAAAGAAAAATTGTTTGCAAGGAGAATTGCTTTTCGGGAATATGCTCAGAACCAGCAACAAAGTGAGGTTACTGGTAGTCTCAGCTCATAGTTAGAGAAATACTTAATTGATCCTCAGGTCAAAGTTCGTGGAAGAGTGGGAGAAGCAGAAGTAATGCATAGGTCTTGAATGCAAGATGTTTTATTTATTATGTGTCATATCATCTTTTTTTATTGAAAATATTTTTTTTATATGCGTAAATATATAGGGAAATAATTGTAGAGGTATTGGGGCGCCATGACTTTAAAGAAAACAATTTTGTGTAATGATGTATTGGTACAGCAAAGAAAAAAAGAAAATTGGAAATGGCATATAAAAATGATGGCAAACATATCACACAAAGAAATTTATTTATGGTTATAGCTTTTAATACTTGAATATTTAAATGCTGAGGTAAGCTTGTTGCTCATTTCAAACAGTCTAATAGTCAAAGAAAAAAAAAAAGAGGATTTATAGTCATATATATTTTACTTTATTGTTTACCCTTAAAAAATGTACCTTTTCTCCCAGATGGTTTATTAATTCTCTTATGTATAGTACCTCTCAAAATGTTCTAGCTGCACCTTATAGTAGGAGAAAAGAAGGAAAAAAAGCAGGAAAATAAAAGACATTACAGTATGTGAAACATGAGGGAATTGTGTGTTAGTATTTCTAATAGTAATGTGCAAAGTTTTGGAAGAGATTTAGAGCAAGTGTGAATGTATCATTCATCTCTTTTTTTGTGTGTTTTTTAAATGTTTCGACTTGAAGAATTTTGATGTAAAAATGCTTTTTCTTTCTTCTTTTTTCAGTGTACGTGTGGCCTAATCGCAAGTCATTTAAAGAATTAAAGAAAAATATTTACTTTTTTTATAAGAAAGTACAGTATACAGAGTAAAGTTTACCTCAGAATAATAAGAATATTTAGTCAATGACTGGAGAATGTCACCCAACCTCAAAACTTAATTGTAGATTACCATTGATTATGGTTGGACCACATTATTATTGTTAGTATTACTAATACTAATGAAAACGTTTTATAGCTCTAATTTTTATATTTTATATTGTGTTATCTTGAGTTAGAGTATTGGGTATTATGTTTTATGTATATCCAGTACATTAAAAAAGGAAACAAATCAGTGTGTATAGATATGAAGTTGCCGATAGACATATTTTATAAGTGAATTTCTTTCCCCCCCTTTTTGATATTGGAATGAAGTATGGTGCTGTTGCAATGCTAAATACTTACTGATGTGATAAAATATTGGGCATAAGTGTGCCACATAATTTCTATTTGAAAATTAAGGACCACATCTTCAAACTCACACAGACTTACCCTTTCATTCTGGTCAGACATTGGTGTTTATGAAAACATTAATGCAGCTCTATACCGATGACACAAGGAGGGCCCAGTCTAGTCAGAGTGACATACCCACAAATGTGACAGCTCTGATGAGAAACTTTGTCCACAGGTATTTCACGTACATCGTTTCAGTAAAGGTCAACGAAATACTTAAGAAAAATGTTCTTTTTAAGTGAGTATCACTTTATACCAACAAAGGTCTACACTACTTCTGTTATGTGTAGTGCTAATAGCCTGATCTTCAAAGCAAGCAGTGATAAGATATTGAAAATGCTGCTCTGATACTCTAGAATGTGATGTTTGTAAAAAATAATAATATAAAAAGAGAGCAACTCTTGTGATCCCGATATATTTCTGCTTTTAGATTAAGGTATTTCTTCTTGAGATAGGGAGGGTGTGTCAGTGGTTCAAAGGCGGTTCAATGATGTTCCAAAATATTATGAACGAGACAAGCCAAAACAAATCTTTATTTAATCTGGTTATAAAACAAAATAATTAAATGAAATCCTTGTTAAGATATGCATTAGAACCCGTAAAAAGAAAAAATCCCTTTTTTCCATAAGAATGTTCAGCTTTTTTTTTTTTTTTTTTTTTTTTTTTTTCTCTCTCTTTTTTCCATTAAAGTCTTAACCAAGGTTGTCAGTATCTATATGGAAAATAACCCTGCTCTGATAAGTTATTCTCTCAGGAAAAGCAGACGATTTTTAGTCATTCACAGAGAGGAGTCAGTAAAGTGCTCAATCAAGGGGTCACAAAGATACATTGAGTTTGATGATTGTTGGTGCCATAAATTATATAAAATATACTTCATAATGTCACAAACAAGGACATAATGCCTTGTGATAGGGTGGCCTTAATGAATAAATGTAGTTAGTCTTTTTATATTGCCCATGTTATTGATTATGTCCATGTAATAGCCATATTACCCTGTAAATGAGTTATGTTCCCTCTTCAATCTGATTAAAAACTAATAATTTTGTTGAGATATTTTGTGAAATGTCTTCCCCATTCTTTCATTTTGAAAAACAAAAATATTGTGATAATGCTAGCCAATCTCATTTTTTCAGATTTTCCCCAAGAAAAGAAAACAAGTTAAAAAAAATATTTGGAACTGGTAAATCATAATCCTTGTCATAGTGGTTGAAATCCTTGAAAACAATAATTTGAAACAGTTACATGTAAAGAATATGTGGTTTCACAAAAGTTTAAATTGCAGCAACATAAGTTTAGACTTTGAAGCATTTAGTGTAAACTCCACATTGGCTGTCAAAGGTGCAAGCCAATTCTTTTTGTACAATGCAGAAAGGTTGAACTGTCACTATGTCAAGATTATGTGCTATATTTTATCCCTTTTTTATTTTTCATTTTTTTCAAAATTATCATTATTATTCCTTTGTGCAGTGTGCAATACTCACATTTTGTAAATTTAGTAATCTTATGAGATTTTCAGTGATATGGTAAATATTGTACATTATGCATGCATAGTGAATGTGAAAAAATATGTAAAAATATATGTGTCATTTAGGATTACTTCATTGAGAGCAAAAATGTGAAAATATTGAGTGAGTCCAACAAAGAAGTCCCTATGTAAGTGATTCTAATACAACACAGTATTTTATTGGTATATGTTAACCATCTTTAAAGGTCGTCCATTGTTACTATCATGTTTGTAAACATTCTGATGATTACAGGCTATCCGTCGCTTATGAATCATAGAGAAAAGAGCATATCACTTTTTTCCAGGTCCCAGACACATTCTGTCATGTTAGCCCAACACATGTGATTCAAAGCAGCTTGGGAAACCTTTAGCTATGATGAATAATATTGAAGGTTTGCATTTTTGACTTAGTTAACTAGTCATTACTGTCAGAATAACTAATGCCAGAGACAGCTGTAGGTGTACATCCTTAATATGCTGTTTGTTCTTACATTACTTGAAATGTTTTTAGCTTTTTGTATAAAAATAGATTAATAGGATGAAATGTGACCATAAAAATAAGCATATGAGTAAAGTAATTTTTGGGGATGATTTTTCACTTGTAACTACAATGAATCTATCATTTGAAATTTATTGACTTGATCATTTCTTCTTTTTTTATTTAATAAAAAAGAATCCGCACTAACATCTTATATCATATTTAAGTAAGGCTTTGATAAGGAGTTTATTTAATAGTGAATGACCTGCAGATAAGCAGTCACATATCGAAAAGTAGTTGCAAGTCTCACTTGTGACTTACCACTACACGCTCTACTATATTTATTTATAGGTGATGAGGGCATTGTCATGCAAATCATGTTGAAGTATTTTGCCATTTTGTGCACAACCTAAGGAAGAGGGACACTATCAGCCCCGTATTTAGAAGATGGATGCATTCAATGGTAAAGAAGTCTGAAACTTCAAGGCAGACTGAAACTCAAACAGAAGTTACTAAATTGAAGATCTAGAAGATTTTTGTGAGATTATATTAGCATGTATATTATTTATCCCAGAAATATTGAGGTAAAATAATGGCACAAATAACCTTTGGGTTAAACTTGAACGGAAAGTTGTCTTACAGGCTGCCCAGAGAAGGTTACTTGTAAATCAAGATTGATTTTATAAATGTAATTGACAGTAGTTTTTCCATTTGCCAAATAAATGCAAAGGCATTTTTTATTTCAACAATAGGAAACATCAAGTCCTTTCAGTCTTATCTTTTCCAACAAACAAGAATAGGATTTCTAGCTGAAGTCTAAAACAATAAGAGCAGTTTCTCTGTGAATAAGAAAAATGAAGTAAATTATGAAAATGGATAAGTAGATACTAAATAAGAGTTCATAATACAAGTATAGGTATTTCTTACTGAGGTTAGATTTCATAACCTAGTACCTGCTAGGGTCATTGGTATCCAAAGTTAATGGAGAATAGTCATCAAAGACGGTCAATGAATTAATATCATTGATATCATAATTTAGGGAATATTTTGTAATTTTACTGACTTATAAGAAAGCAACACTATTATTTTGTATTATATAGTAACAAAATTGACAAGCAGTTTATGAGAAAGAACACTTGTAAAGTTGTGATTTCACAGATGAAAACTAAAGTTTTCTGTGACTAGCATCTCAATGGCAAGAAGTTGTGCAGTAAATTGATTATCACTGTTTCATTATTATTTCTTTTTAGATTATTGGTAATACATGACATTGTCACCCTCCAATGTTTATATGGATTTCCTTGTAAACTCCAGCCCACCAATCTTTTGTTTGTAATGTGTTATGTCAACTTTTTTATTTGAACTTTTACAAAATATTAGGAAGGTTGTTTCTATATACATTAATATCCATATTTTCACCTTAAATGTGCTTTGTGCAAGAAGCAAGAAATAATGTGCGATTATCATGGAGTGTATGATGTGCTCTAGTTGAAAGTTATAAACATACATAACAGTAGTAAAGCCAGTAGCATCATTAGGGAAACAAGACTTTGAATACCTAGGTGGGATGCAGTTGCTTAACATTTTATTAAACATATAATCATTAGAGGACAAAGCAGACCTGGTCAGTGGAACAGACAATGAATGTATTATTATTATTATTATTATCATATATTTATTTTTATAAAATAATTTACTATTTTCATAATTGTATTTATCACTAATGTTATAAAGTTTATGCAAAACTGCATGTATTATTCTATGGATTTTTCTATCCCCTATTTTAGTCATTTTTTATTATTGTTACAATTATCATTACTAGTGTTATGCCCTTTTTTAATGTTTGAATGAAAGGCTTGAATAATGGCTGGTGATAATCTATAGTGATTACCATTAGCCAAGGGGCAGTATTATAACTACAGTTTCAACTTCTTGTTCACAATGCCACTGTGTGATGACAGTGAATGTTATAGTAACAATATACACTGTACATATCTTAGGAGTATATATTTAATAAAAGTGTTATACATTGCAAGACTTTGTTGTTGTTTTCTTCTGCCACATAATATATAGAATATTTGTCACTGACAGGTGGATCTACCCGAGCCAAAGCTAAATGGAAAGATGACAAAGGTAACAGATCTGACATTTTTGGGGGGAAATTAAACAAAAACCACAGAAAATATATCTTCCAAAAAAAGTGGAAGCAAGAGGTACCTCTGATATCATATAGAGGGTAATTTGAATTCTTCAGCAGTGTATCTTTACCAGTTGTTTGTATTTTAGTCGCTGGTGTATCTGGTAGTTGGTGTAGGTATCTTTGACTAAGGCATACACACACAGTAAAATTGAAGTTAATTCCATTTTGCTGAGATTTTTGTATTTAATATTTTATTCCTATATTTTCAGCTCTCCAGATAAAGCAATCAACAGAAGAATGACTGAAAAGAAATTTTTTAGCAGTGTTTACCTATGCTCACTTGCACTCTCTTAATATCTCAAGGAATGATAATCTAATCATCGTGGAGGTTAAGTTCAGAGTAAAAGGTAAAGCACTCAATTATGCATAATGAATGATGGAGAGAAAGTGAGATGATGATGATGATGATAAAAAAGTATAAATAAATTACTTTCACAAAAATGTACAGAAGCCACATAGTATTTTGTTTAAAAAGATATCAAAGCAACAGGTATATAGTACTACCAGTAATTGTACATAGAAGCAACTTTAGAAGGTAAAATCCATTATATTTTGGGCAAATAAATAATATGAGTATAAATATATAAATTTTGCTATAACAATATTTGTAGTAAAATTAACTCTTGCTGTGGAGAAAGAACATCAGAACAGTGTATGTATAAAAAGTTTCATGGTGTTACTTGTTTCCTTCCTTCTTCATGTCTTGCAGAATTAATCACCTTTGATGATTGTAGACATATTTTTTCTTACAGTAAATTTGTATAAAACATTTTGAGCAGTACCATTGGTAAATGTACAAAAAATGTATTGTGGTTCTTCATGAATAGCTGTGGGTTATTTGGCATGTTTATGTAAATAATGATTTAAATACTGGTTGGTTTTGGGCATATGGTTAGGATCAGCAGAAATAGTAGTAATTGGCTTTTACACAAAAACACATTATCATTCTGGAAAAAAATGTGCTGATAAAAACACTAAATTGAATAAATTCTTTGAATTCAATATCATAGATATTGCCTTGGTTCAAGATATAATATTGTGCATATTTCTCAAATAACTAAATGTGCATGTGTGTTTGTGTCATGGAAAAGTCCACTAAAGGAAAGGGAATTATGTTTTTGCAAAGTATGGGATAATTATAACCAATAGAGAAAATGAGAGAAAGAGAGAGAGTAGGATATCACACTCACTTTATGATAGTCTAAATAACCCTTTGGAAGGAAATTAAAAGACAATTATTATGCAAAATGAACGTTAACTCCTTTATACAACATATTACAAATACACTAAACATACAAACAAGGTGATACCAACACCATTTACATATTTTTTTCACTTCACAAAAAACACTGGGGGATCAATAGAACTTCATGACCCAATTGGGAGTTGCTGGTGATGTGTGGCACTTTGCAGCAGCGGACATTAAAAACGCGATGAACTGAGGAAATGTATATAACATGACATCCTGACTAGTTTGGAGCGTGACTGAGTGGGAAGAAGGGATAGGGGGTACAGGCTATTTATTTTTTTTAATACTTTTTTATCACTATTAGTATTATCATCAGTTTGGCTTCTACTTCTCCATCTTCTTCTAGTTTATCAAAAATAATAAAAAACATAATAAAATAAATAGAGAAAAAGAAAAAAATAGAAAAACAGAAAAAGAAAGAGGAAAATATCTTGAGAGATGCTACATCAAATTTCTCATTTACTGATTCAATTATCCTCAAATTACCCATCATCAGTATATCTCTACCCTAAGGATTCAGTCGGCTGAGAAGAACCCCTCGTCACAGCTTCCACCTACACATCATGTCCTGAGATACTGATTTGCATTTTGTTATTCAGTGACTGGTAGTAAAACCATCATGATACAAGTTCACAGTAAAAAATTACAATAAGAAATCATAATGGTAATCTTGAAAAACAAGTGTATCATTTCAAATTTCCACAGAAAGATATTGAAAAGGGTGCTCAAAATGGGCACTCAGTTATATAATGCTGCTGCCGCAAATTTATCATTGTACAACACAAAATTAGAATAAAAAAAGGAAAAGTACAGGAGAATTTTTCTAATTATCAAAACAGTCTTAAAGAATTACTAAAAATTACTAATTCCCTTTACACAAAAAAAGGAAATTTATATAACTGTAAATCACTTACAAAAAAAGAAAAAGAAAAAAGGCCACTTGTATTCTACTTGAAATTTGCCTAATATGAATCTGCTAAGGAGTGGTTGAATAAAATAAATATATTACAGATTTTCAACAACTAATAACATATGAGTACAAGAGAGTGAGCAGTAAAAATGTTTACAAGTCTCCTAAATAAAAACCAACTTTCAGATGTTAATTAGATGGTACCAGTTTTTCATTGGACTATGAAAAAAGACATTCTTAACCAGTGAAATCGGCTAAAATATCTATATCATCATCATTTGAATAGTTCACAATTACTGTTCTACGATACAGCAAAGGGACAAGGGGGTGAGTGTAATAAAAATAGTGTTATAATCCTCACTCTTTCCTTCTGCACCGGGCAGAAAGAATGGCACTTCAAGCACAAGGAATCACATTTCATTTCATTTCTCTTTTGTGAGGGGAAATCCAACTACCAGAGCTGTTTACTCCACTTGGACAGGGTTAGGAAAATCACCAGGTTTATATGATAAATATAATTTATTTACCAACTTTTTTTTCTTTTTTTTGTGCTTTACTGTAAGGAACTCAGCCTGGTGAATAACCTTGTTAACAAATGTACATGGTATAGGAGTATATAGGTTACTTGTATATCTCACAAAGTTGTAAAATTGCAGGCAGAGCTACATAGGATAATTTTACATCACCTTACTTCACCTTAGGCTATAACAGGACAGGCTGAATAACACACACAGCACACCTGTTCCACTCCCACTCAAGGTTTCATGACGATCTCCTCATTCTCACTACTACGCATACCAATAGATAATATGTAAGCAAAGTCTACCAAGAGTTCAACTGGTATTCCTTTTTTTTTTTACATTAATATTATTTTTAATACATAAAGAGGCACTTCACGGAGGGACTTCAGTGAGTAGGTAAGGAAGACCAAATTTCTGAGGCAAAAGTCACCTGTGCAGATACCTCATTATCCATCTTTTAGTTCTGGGAGAATGACACCCACAATGCAGTTCAAATTAAAGCACTGAATAATTCCTTATCTCTGGATTATCACCATCTACACAGAACAGTGTTGTTATGATCACATTCAAGTTTTTTATTTAAAGTTGCTCATTCACTAGAAAACTTGTTAAACTTGTCCTTAGCATTACAAGGTAAAGAGGGTTGCAAGCACCACACAGTGGTTGGTGCATCACAGTGTTTGGGAATCTTTTCTAAAATTACTTTGTAAGTTTGTAAAAAAAAAAAAAAAAAAAAAAAAGAAAGAGAAAAAAGTTTCAAAATATCTAGCACTGACACTGCAGGCGCACACATAAACAGCATGTGCCACTTTGTGTTCATTTTCCCCTGTTAAGCCACACACTCACAGATCAGTAGTCTCATGAAATATGAGAAACAAACAGGGTTGGTTGCAAATGCTATCCATGCACAGTCACTAAAATTCTTTGCTGCAATCTTGTAAGATTCATTGTTGGGTACATCTTTGGTTCAAGGTTTCAGACATTCATGCACATTACACTTAGGGAGAACTTGTTCTTTGCCCTTTTAAGAAGTGTTCAATACTGCACAGAACAGTTCAGCATCCACAAGCAATGGAGGGCTTTGCATGCTTCTTGGCACATGAGGGATGGGGTTAGGGTCATGCGGTGAGGTTGGGGTTCTTGTTTCACATAGGTTAGGAGTTTCATGATGAAGAATGTCATCGCTGCATTACACTGTTGGAGGAGCAGGTTCACTGGATTCATCTTATCAGATATCTTGCATACAAAGCTGCTATGCGTACTACAAGAAAATCTGCCTAACATCAAAAACTGGAAAGAAAGTGTTATATATATATGGCCAATTCATGTAATCCTTTTTTAAGTCTTTCTGTAAACACTGTCAAACGAAGGTACCCTTCGTCATAAATAACTGCCATTCTAGAATTTTTCTTTCTTCATTTAACTCAGGCTGCAGGTTTTAGGGTGTATTTTGACATACACTATAAAATCTGTCTGACAACGTCTAGTGTCTGTACTGGATTAGTGATTGAAAAAGGCCAAAAATAAAGATAAATAAAAAAAAAGATGAAATAACAAGTAAATATGCTTAGATATAATTCAAGAATTATCAATATATGGGAGGCTGTGCCATCAGCCTAAAATTTTGAGGAAAAGCTATTTTTCTTTAATACCTACATAAAGGCCACATTGATAGGGAAGAGCAGGAGAGCCTTCACATGCCCTCTTCTTCCCTTTTGCCAGAAAAAACATAAAAATAACTCGGCTCCTTGAAAATCTTGTGGATCAATCACACACTTTAGTTATTTCTCATTCACATTAATGTCAACAACTGTAACAAGATCATGTAACAGAACCCAAATATCTTTATATTATATATACATATATAAAATATTCTATAAACCTCATAGAAATCAACCTCTTTCTATTGCTCTGGCTAACCAATGTCCCTGCGAAGAAAACCATCAAGAGGGATAGTGGGAGAGAAAGAAAGAGAGCGCATGTGACATCCAGGACCCTAATCCAATCTTTGGGGGGCGTTGCACGTGTTCCCATTACAGGAGCAGCAAGAACCGCTGTTTGTAGGAGTTGAGAATCGGTTCATCAGTCAGTTTCTTTTACATCTATGGCAATGATGAGGGCGGTTGTCAGTGGTGTGTTCTAGTACTGGTAGTCATCTGAGTCTGCGTAATCTGGGTAGTCATCATCCACATCCATGGAGTCGGCTGCAAGGTTGGTGACAGTGGCAGAGAGGGGCGAGTGCTTGTTGAGGCCTCCCCCTACACTACCACCACCCACTACACCTCCGGTCAGGGTTCGCCCACCTCCTGGACTGGAATCTAAGGCATCATCACAACCCATCGACAGCTCATCTTCATCACCGTAGAACCTGCAAGACATGAGCTAGTGAGCAAAGTTTTTTCTTTCTTTTCTTTTGTAGAAAAAAAAGCAAACAAATGCTTCCCATGAATGAATATATGTAAGACCTAACCCCATATAAGAAAATGACAGTGGCTTCCAATCATCATATAAAAGAAACAAGGTTTGAGCATATGTAATAAAAAAATAACTTGTAAAAACACTAAATCAGTGACTTGAGAGAAAAACAGATACTCATTATAAGAGAAACTACAGAAGGTTTCCAGCTTTCTCAGAACATGAGACAGAAAGAGATATGATAAATGCACAATGAGTAGTGACAAACAAAAAGTAGTATTCAAGAAATGAGACAGAAAGAGGGTATAAATGTACCTATTCATGACATTCTGATCTCAAACACCATAAGAGAAATTGAAAGTTGGGAAAAAATCCTTCTGCAGTTTCTTGTATCAACATGAATGTACTTAGGGATGGAAATGTACAAATTACAAATGTACTTAGGGATTGAAAATCTACAATATCAATAACAACAAAACAACATCAATCTACATTAAACAGGATCAATTATTAATGATTAATTAAATTGAAACAAGTCTTCTTTTAGGAATTTTTTTTTTGCTCTTTATCATTATTAGTCCATCACAATCTTTATTCTTTAAAAAAAGAAATTTAGAAGACAAATTTTGGTACTTTGCTGATATATATACTTATAATTCTATAGCATTTTACAGAAGCTCTACTTAAGAGATCAATAAGTGATAAACTATCTATAAATCAAAGACTTATCCTTTAACACCCAAAGTGCAATAAGCTGTGTTTCCATATAATATTCAGCAAAGTATTTGAATTTTTTTTTTTTATTTGTAAATTACCTTTTTTGGTGAAAGCAGGGATATCCATTTTTTAAGCAATAGGTATATATATATTCTACAGGAGAAAAAAAATCCACTCTTTTTAATCTAACATCTACATGCTGCATCTTTTGTTTTGTTTTTAATGCAAAGAAGCAGATGAGAACTAAAAAAAAAACAAAAAAACTCAAACTGTATTGTATGCCTATCAATCTAGTAGGCTTTCTTTAGAGAGCAAAGAAAAGAGAGGGAGAGGGGAGAAAGAAAAGGGTAAATTGATTTGGTACAAAGGAAGGAAAAAAATGTACTGGCAAAATGTATACAAATACAACATGAAAACATTAATGTGTGCACAAGAACTGCAGCAAAAGTGCACACACAGCATAAGAAAAGCACTCGCCATGCAAGTGACCAAAGGGCAGGGGGACAGAAGGGAGCAAAACAGGAGAAAAAGGGAGAGGAGGAGTTGGGGAGGGAAGGGAGGGCAGAGTGGGTGGGAGAGCAAATGACCCTCCACTCTCCCCTATCTCCTACCATCCACTCTTTACCGCCTCCCCCTTGTCCTCCAAATCCCCCCTGGCCCCCTCAATATCCCCAAGGTACACTGGCTTCCCACCTGTCAAGTGCACATCATCCTCACAGACTCTCCTCCACAATCCTGCAAGGTGCACAGTGCACTTAAGTTTCTCCACCACTATTGCCTGCACCTTCATCTAAAGTTCCACCCAAGAAGAACCTAAATGGAAAGAATCCAGGGCACCTACGTTTATCATCGTCCTCATAGTGAGGAAACAAGGGAGTTGGGGATGGTCTTTGTTGATTAGGCTTGGAGTGATATTTATTTTTTCCTTTTTTAACTATTGGGTGTTTTGTTTTTTGGAATGGTGCAAATAAGGAAGGGATAGGGAGGGTTAGATTATCTCAAATCAAAAACAATAAAATTGCTAAGAACAAACACTTTATTCCCTGGATTGCATGATCAGAAATTAAAACTGTACAAGGATAAACTAAGCTATAGGTACTTTTCCCACAAATGCATGAAACTTTTTGTAAATATGAGTATATCAATACCATTATTGAGAAAAAGCCAAGAAGAAAGTGAGTGAGTGTGTGAGGTGTAGGTGGTGTAGGTCTAGGTTTAGATTTAGATATAGATGTAGGTGTACATGTAGATGTAGATATACATTTAAATGTAGATGTAGATGCAAGCGTATATGTAGGTGTAGTTGTAAGCATAGGTATATGTTTTGATGTAGGTATAGGTATAGGTATAGATGTAGGTGTAGGTGTAGGTGTAGGTGTAGGTGTAGTGTAGGTGTAGGTGTAGGTGTAGTGTAGTGTGTAGGTGTAGGTGTAGGTGTAGGTGTAGATGTAGATGTAGATGTAGATGTAGATGTAGATGTAGGCGTAGGTGTAGGTGTAGGTGTAGGTGTAGGTGTAGGTGTAGGTATAGGTAGAGGTATTGGTTTAGTTGTAGATGTAGGTATAGGTTTGGATGTAGTGTAGATGTAGGTGTGTTTAAGCATCTGTATATGCATGTACAAGAAGTAGAGGGAGAGTGAAAGAGAGATAATGAAATATATAATAAAACTGTCTTGAGATACAACAAATACCACTAAATTCTAAACATTGAGAATCGGTGAGAAAAGATCATAAAATTTCCATAACCATAAACAGACACAATCACAGGGTATGGAGTTCATTAATTGCTGAAAGGATAAGGAGAATAAAGGAATACCAATGAAACTACTCTGCCAAGACAGATAGAGAATCAATACCTATGAAAAAAATATATATCCAAAAATAACAATGACAGGGTAGTTATAGAGAACATCTGAACTATAAGATGACATACATCTACTCCAAATGTCACACCTATTTTGCATCTACTTCACTTCTTACTGAAGGTCATATCAAAAAGCCAAATATAAAGTGACACAGACAATGCCAAAAAATATAGAAAAAATTGAGAAATAAAAAAAATATATAAAGCAATGGAACAAAAAAATTCATGAAAATCTACCATAAGAAGACGTTTACACTCATGCCAACAAGGAGAGGTACTCGCCTTCATTAGCACTAAGAATTACGGTTAACCTTGACAACAATTTTCATTTTCTTTTTCTCTTTTTTTGATTAAATTTTGCTGAAAAAAGAGAAAACCCACATGATAGGTTGCAGTATTTGTGAAAACCAGTAATTGTCTTTAATGATACTCTCTTTGCATTGATATGTTGGTTTCCTATTCTAGTCCTATATTACTTACTTAGAACCTAATTTTGAGTATCTTCAACAGACACATTACCTTAGAAATAAAACAGTAAATCTCTATCCTCAGATCCTTTACAGTGAAGAAAAACAATAATAAAAAAAAACAGTGTTTGGAGGAAGTTGCTTTCTTCTAAAAATCAGCTTGATATAAAACACAAAGGCATTTGGAAGATTATACATATACACACATCTGTTCACAATGGCAATTTTTTTTTTCATCGCTTATTAAGAACACATGAGCAGGGAAAGTAGTTGAAAAAAAAAAAAAAAAAAAAAAAAAACACCTAGAAAGAACACTTACAATCCTAAATTCATGAAGAAACCTTAACCTTCAGAACACCCAAAAATAAAATCCATGAATAAAACCAAAGAATCAATAGAAAAGAAATCAAAAGTAAAAAGAAGAAGAAAAAAACAAAACAATCAACCTACATATCATCCTGGTGATCGGCTCCGCCCTCCTCCGCCACCAACAGCTCGTACTCCTCAGCCGCATAGCGATCCCACTCCGAAACCTGCAAGAACTAGGAACAGTCATCCACAGTGTAGCATATTTTGTCCTTAATATCCTTTAGTTGAACTGTACTTCAGTATTGTTCATTCAAAAGTGGAATGATGATGATAATATTGGGTCAGAACAATTCTTTTTTCAAACTGTTATCATTCTCAATTAAAAGAAAATAATGATAATGACTCTGAAGTAACTGCATATATCAATACAAGATTTTTCACTAGAAACAAATTCTCAATATTATAGCCGCCCACTACAGTAAAATACATAGACAGGATAAACAAGTACTTGGAGTCACTTCACATAATAGGATGTCATTAACTATGAAATTTCTTCCCTCTCTTCAGATTCCAATCCTAAACTTACTGTGCTGATTCTGTGCCTCTCTAACAGCTAATCCTTGCATGTGTTGCTATGGTTAAACAATGTTTGCAGTGGATTATATTGTTCAGTTTTAAAATCTCTAGCTAAACTCATCCTCAAAAACATTACATATATGTTACCAATATATACATTAGACAATTAGAAAAGGGGGTGCATTACACAAGCACTGTCCACTTTCTTTGTGACTAAAAGCTTATTGACACGGAGTTGGGTAACTGGCTACAACTGTTGATACTAGAATAGTATGAATGTAGCTTAATTGATCAAGATATCAATGTAATGTTTAATGTTGCATTAGCAATCTTCACAAGACCAATAGAAATTATTGTGTAAAAGAGAGAAAGAAACTGCAGCAGAGGATACTTCTGGGCCATGTGACTGAAAAAGAACTAGAAAAATAGCCAGGACTTCAACTTAACTCTCCACTATTCCAGCAAGTAGCAAATATGCTAACCTTCCATTTACATTTGGCACAAGAGGGGTAGTTTACAGGCTGCTAACATTTGCAGCCAAAAACCTAGCTCAGTGTCAACAGGCCATAAGTGGTTATGTTCTTAAGGTACATATATTTAAATGTATACTACACTAAGGACTATTAAGACCTATTTTAAGAAAAAATCAAAATCATTAGACCTATTATACATTGATGATTTGGAAAGTTGAGACTCCTGCCATCCCGTAACAGCTTTTACCTTCATTTTCCTTGCAAGAAAGCTAGGATGTTTAGATAAAATCCAGGCATCATTAGACAACAAAGAGAACTATCTCAGAAAGCAAAAAGAAGAAAAAAACACTAATCAATACAAATAATGTCCCAACAGTTTGTATTCTCCTGAATAATATACTGAATAATGAATGGTCTTTTATCCCCATACCTCTGGCCATCATCCTCAGCTCTGTGTGATGCGAAGGGATCACGCTGCTCATGGTCCAGGTATTTCTCGAGGTTGAAGAACGTATCGAAGAATATGGAGTCATGCGGCAACGCTTCAGATCCCTTAGAGATATCTTGTCGCCCATCTCTGGACGCACCATATCCAACATCTAATATAAAACAAAAAATATATATAAGAAAACATGACAAAATGAAAAAAAGGAAGTTACGGAGGAGTGAAAAATCACATAAACCGACTTTCCTTGTATAGATTTTGAAACTGACACAAAATAAAACAAAACTCTTTAGCAATGGCAAATGGCATCTCACCTGACAGAGGCAGTCATGGAAGGAAGAGTCTCAATGCCGAGGGCCTCCATGCGCTGCAGCTGCTCTTCATAGAAGTATTCTAACTCATACATGGACAGATAGCCATCACCATCCAAGTCCATGCACCTATGGCAAGGAAGAGAAAGGACTGAGTGAATATGTGTGTGAAGTTCTTCTTAAAGGTCAATGGTTGTGTAACCTAATGTTCAAATTTTATACTTACAACTTTTAATTGTCTTTCTTAGTAAAGACAATGAAGATGATAATCAAACACAGGATATTAACAATCTCAAAGATTATCACCAGTGATAACATCGATGACAAGATAAAAATAGTGAATAACATTAACAGTGGCAATACCAAATAAAAAAATAAATCAATAAACATATAAACTACCATCACCAACACCAAAACCAACACCCCAAGCACACCTGAACCAATATTCAATGGCTGTGGGATGCCGTTTATCCTCCTCGGATATCAGGAACCACACAAACTCCTGGTAGCCATGCGGTCCTGTTTCTGCAGCCTTCCTCTGGTAACTGCCCCGCTGAATATTCGCTCAATCATGCGCCATGACAGCGCTGGAAGAAATGAATGAATGAATACACCAGAAATTTACCATGTGACAGAATTACAGTAATTATGGAAGGTAAAATTTTGCAACCTGATGGAGAACCACACACAAAAACTTTTTAAAACACCTCGCAAACACAATCTCATACACCAGTACATTCATATAATACTAAATTGTTTCTTGACCATTTACACTGAAGAATCTCAATTATCGAAAGCTCAACAATGCAACAAGAAACACCATGAAACTTCTTCCTCACTCACCTCTTTCATTATGTTTTGCAAGATCATGCTTGTCAATGAAAGGTCATGATCCGTGTCCAATTCCCAGAACTTGCAATAAATAACATAAAAATGCTCATAGCTGAAGTAATCAGTGATTTGGTTAATATCTTCTTCTTCCTCTAAATAGCTAATAACCTGAAAGTAAAAAGATCATGCATTAGAAATTCCATTCCCATTTCTATAAAATCAACCCTATACTACATCTATTTATCAACAGATTTATAAAAGAAAAAAAGTATCTGAAATTAATAAAAGAAAGAACTAACAAGCAAATTACTGTAACAGGTACAGCATACATTATTTTCCAAAGAGTTTTGAACAATGTGGTCAAGGCAGAATATCACTAGTTGCAATAAGTTAAAATGACATTTTCAAATAACTTACTTGTAACAAGTTGATTCCTAAGTTCTGGAACTGTTATTCTACCTGACCAGGATCTATTTACACAATAATATATTCTTGCTATGACCTGTAAAAAGGAAAAAAAATATGGTCAGTAAATTTCAAAGTAAATAAATAGTATAACATCATAAAACAATCAAATACAAAGTAATAAGAATGTGAACAACAAAAAAAAATAATAATGTGATGGTAAATCATGAACTATATAGTATATTAATTCCTAAATTACTTTATCAATTACTTTATAGGTATAATGTCCAATTCACCTTTACTGTGTAATACATTATATATGACCTATGTACTATTGGTCATATCCCCTTCCAATGACCTTTTTTCTTTCCTCCTTAATTCTTCATAGAATATTTGGGTTTAAACTTCAAACCTATATTTTCCCTTTCTCTAAAACACAAACAGCAGTGGCTCAATCCTCATCACAATATACTCACTGTATGAACATATCTGGAGTGGAACTCAGTGGCTTCCTTGAGGAAGGTGAGGCCAGGGTGGGTGTCCACCACATCCTGAATCATGCTAAGAAAGTCCTCTGGCATGAGGTAGTTCCGAACACCACGACTCAGCACTCGGACAAAGCGAGAGGCCATGTCGTGGCAGGTAGAGATCACTCTGTTGGGACAAATTACACAGTAAAATTATTCTTTAAATTACCTGATCCTTAGTTAAAATATACTATTATCAATCAATTAATCTCCATATAAACACCAGATAGAATGCAAAATCACAAACCCTTTCCTATCTTTTCCTTCATACATGCATTAAATCACTGACTATTTCCTGAGACCCTCATACTAAACCCTCCCTATCCCCCTTGCCCAGTTCCTCACTGACCTGCTCCAATAGTCTGAGAACTGCTCCTGTGTGAGGTAGCCCAGCTTGTCTCCACCAGCAGCAATGAAGAGAGGAGCCTTCCAGTAGAGTGGGACTTGACAAGCCCTTATCAGTGGCTCCATGTTGTCCCGTGTTATCTGACCTCCATTCTCTCGGAACACAGCATTGACCCGTGATATTGACTGCTCCTGGGACACCTGGGTTGTGGGGCGGCCCATAGGGTAATAGAATCTGAAACAAGACAGGTAAACCATAAATCTAAAGCCCTACATTTTATAAACTAAATTGAAATGAAGAACAAATGGGCTGACATAATGTCTTCTATGTCTTTAAAACCATGGAAATAATACTAAATTTAAATGTTCTTAAGACACATAATCATTTATTACACATAAACTAAAATCTCTCCTGCCCAGAATACCTCTACATAAGAAAAATGTCACATGTAACCTTGATCCTCTGTTGCAGTTGATGATAAAAGTTTAAGGAAATGCACTTCACAAAATCTATGTTGCTCAACCATTCTATGCAAACAAGACAATTCAGCTACTACTTCTATTGTTGCGTCTCAAACACTTTCAAAGACATACATAAAATAATTACCATAATACGACCTTTGTCATCTACACAAAAATATCTCAGACTGTGTTGGATTCCATCTGCAGCTTCATCTGTTTTTTCATCTGCTCGGAACTTTCCACACTGTTACGGCTCTCTTTGGCCCATTATTTTTCTCCGCGTGAGACTTCCTTTTTATCATATATACAAGAAGCTAGAACAGGTACGGGCTCTCAGGGATTTGTCTCAGTTTCTCTTTTCCAATCTTTTGAGGCCATGTGCACTTTTTGCTAATTCTGTCTTACAATTAAGGTGACAATGGCAATTGAATGACTCTTTTTAACCTCAACACTGTAAATGATATATGTATCATACTTTTTGAAACTAAGAAACAAGATTTCATTGTGAGATTGTGAGAGTACATGTGATTATTATCATTATTGTGTGTGTATGTGTGCGTGCATGTGCGTGTGCGTGTGCGTGTGTGTGCGTGTGTATGTGTGTGCGCATGTATGTGTGCGCGCGTGTATGTGTGCGCGCGTGTATTTGTGTGCGCGTGTATGTGTGT